TAATAGTGAAGAAATCTTTTATTTAGTTAAATTTACCTTGGAATAAAATCTATGTTAAGGTTGTGTGAAGATGTTAAATAAACAAGAATTAGAGCGATAAAAGTCAAACAATCTTCTTAGAAGCAAACAATCTAATTGCTCTGCTAAGATTGATTCTACTTATTAAAATTCCTATATTATCTAACATTAGAATCAAAACTTCTAAAAATCTCGCATATTTAAAGATGTATCAGGTGTACAATTTCTGCAAAAAATAACTGGGATTCGAAATTCATATTTTCCGTATAAAAATATTATATACATTAAATAATTCAATAAGATTAATATATATTTAATAATTTTATAATTTACATAAGAATTTCTTTTTTTTTATCTTAATTACATTTTATAAACATATCTATTTCTTATTAGTAATTTTTGATCTAGGTTCTAAATCACCGCCAATCTTTTTGTATTATAATTTTCATGTATAATATAGAAATAATTTTCTTATAATTTTTTCATTTTGTTATAAAATAAGCGTACATTTTTAACTTTATTATTAAAAAATCGCTGTTTTAAAAATAAAAGATGTTCAATGGTAGGTTTATTTTCGCGGATAATGTTTCCGAATATAATTTAATGAAATTAAGACTTTAATTAATCGAGAGATAAAAAATTCACTGAATGTGTAAAAAAAAATGTTAAAATATATTTAAACAATATATTTAAACAATTTATTTAAAATAGAACTAATAAATAAGAACATCAAAAATATACACGAATCTCTCAACCATAAATACGTTGTACGAGTGTTAAAATAAAAGTTGTTCCTAAAAAGTTTCATAAGCCAGAACAAATGAGTGTAACGCATTTCCCGTTAATGCTATTAGCTTTATCAGTTGCCTCGCGGTCTAGCTATTTCATCGACAGGACTTTCCCGCTTTAGCATTCCCTCTCCTCTCTCGTGCTTTTACGGAGCAAAAGTAAAATCAGATAGATATTGATGAGATGGAGCATCGAACTGACTCGATGAGACCGACGAGACGCGCGATACAAGTTACAGCAGGACTTTCCTCACACTTGTGTGTTTATGTTTCAGGCATGAACATATTTTACAGACCCACGATCGCAAACTCGCCCTAGATCGTCAATATTGGTAGCTGTACTAAAAAAACAGAAGCTTTTTAGGCTGTTATCAAATTTATAAAACACGCAAATGGTAATTTTTGGCGTGATATGATACGAGCACATCAAGCATTATCAAACGCGAAAGCTTGGTAAAACAGTAATAAAATCAGCCTGTACTTTATCGTGCAGAGAAAACGTATTCTGATCATACTTTGCAAATGGTGCTGTTCTAAATTTCCGTCCTTCACTTTTGTTGGGCTTGCGAAAGTCGTCCAAGTGTGCGCACAGCACGATCGTGTACGCTCATCGTTGGAGGATGTACGTGGGCGTGGACATGAACTTGTGTGTACCTACGTATGTGCATCGTATGTAGGAGTCGAATTCCGAAATGGCGTCATGTACGTCCGCCAGCGCGCGCGTTCGCGTCCGATGGTATCTCTAATGTGGGTCACACACATAGAACGGAGAAGTCCAGCCGCTACGAGCCGGAAACTCTACATTCAAAGCCGAATGGAGGACTTTCGGTAAAGAACAAGAGAGACGAAGCAAGAAAAGAAAGGGAGAGAAAAAAAAGGGGTAGAATTAGGGGTAGGTTTCAAGATAAAGATAGCAGCGAGCTCTGATATCTCAACTCCATTTCTAGGCTTCTAGTTCGTGCTACGAGTCGTGAACAAATGTGTCGTGAGTCCGACTTCCTTTCCTTTTCTCTCTTCTTTCCGCCGACCCTACTCTACTACCCTCAATCCTTCGGAACCACGTTGTGTCACCTGAGGGCCAGGCATATATTCTCTGCCGGCTGGGATCGACCAAGTTTTCCAATAAATTTCTATATCCGCCGGCTGCATCTGCAACGGACGACCCGGGACCGTCTTATTATGCGACCATTCGGTGATGCCGAATTTCCCTCCTATCTCGATCCCTCTGTCGTCGATGATAAGCGGCATCGACGATTGCTCCATTGCAGACTTTAGTGTTCCGCGCAGTATGTACGTTTGACCGTGACAAGGAATTGGATTCACCGTAATAGAAAGACATTATCGTAATCTTCATGCGTGGTACTTGTTTTTATTGTATTAAAATAATCCGAATTATGATTACAGATCAAAGTATCAGCAAAATTTACTTGCTATTATATTATTTGTAATTTAAACACATTCAAAAAATGATAGTATTTCACAATTATTTCTACTATCATATTTATCATTTCATTTTTCAATTATATAATATCACATATTGTAAGAACTTATTTATAGATACTGAAGAAAAACATTTTTTTAGACTTTTATTGTCTATTTATAAATTATAAATATATCACTCATAAGAGAACAACAATAATAAAGAACAATAAAAATAAACATATTAGTGTAAAATAATTGGCTTGTCGATAATAATTCTCGTTATTTAACTAAAATGGTTAAAGCGGTAATAATTTTATTTTAGAGCTATAACGATTCTATTAATTTTACGATATAATTTTAATTCGAAAGAGATAACTAAAAATTTCCAACTTATTAATTATTATTTTATTCTGCTTATTAGAATCATTTACTTCCTTATAACAAGCCGTTTAGAACAATCGCGCCGGAATTGGAATCAAAAATCGCACATGTATTTTATTTGCCAGCTGTCCAAACTCGATGTATCATCGTAACCGAGATGAAGAAACCCGCGTAATAATATGTTCGAAAATTTTTCAAGGATCAATAAAAGCTAATTAACCGAAATTTTTGTCTTAAAGAGAGAGAGAGAGAGAGAGAGAGAGAGAGAGAGAGAGAGAGAGGGGGGGGGAGAGGTCTCAATTGCTAACCACGTAATTGTCTTACTATTATCGAAAAGAATATTATTGAAAAGAATTTATGATATTGACATAGTTTGACATTAATTATCAAGAAATTAATTCATAGAAAAAAAAATTCAAGAAATATGACAAATTCGATAAATTTCATGCTAATTGAACTAGATACCTTAAAATAAAAATATTTTACAAATATATTGTAGCTTTAATTTTTTAAACCATTTTATACGATATATATGTCAAATAATCTTTAATTTATGAAAGACAAAACAAAAGTTAAATATACAATTTCATGATTATTAGATTAACAAAGCTTAACTTTCTGTAATCCATGAACAAGTTAGGCAACCAAAGCAAATGAAATCATTCGCACGTGAATAATATTATGTCACGCATTTTGAAACAATCCAAATAGCGATACCTCGATATCACTGTTATGAGCCATAACGATCAAAATTCATGGGAACTGCAGCGAGGCAGAATTGTCGTCGCGCGCCGTTGACGTCGTGTAAATGGAAATGAGTGCACTTGTTCGTCCAAAAATCAATAGCGTTCCGCGCGAAATGGCCAATAAAATATGCAAAAGTACTAAACAATGTAAATCCCATGAATCACAGTCGTCGACAGTGCCGCTCGATTTTGCGACACGAGAGGAAATGGTGAGGATGTGCGATACATCGATAATGTAACCAACTAAAATGATAGTCAATGATATTGTTCACGTTGCAGCAGAAAGTAGCGATATGTTACATAATACTGATACACAATCAATTTTATATGGAATATTTTACAAATTTGAAACAATATATTATATATAAATAATGGTAAATATGGCTTTAATATATATGACACCTTATAAAAAGATTTCTTGGAAAATTTCTTATTAGACTTTAACGTTGCTAATTATATACGTGTATTAAATATATACGTGATACATTTAAAATTTTATAAAAATGTTATATTACTTAAAAATGCAATTTATTCGTCTTTCAAAAAATTATTCGTCTTTTTTTTATATTTGCGCGATATTTTTATTAAATAGTACACACATCAATTTTGGGCATCCTTACTATACACGTTCGGTCATTCGTGTTCTGGATTAATTTTCATCACTTTTACAAGTAAATAAAAATTATTAAACGATTTTTATGTATATTTTGACATCTTTAGAAAGTATTTGTAAAGTTGTATTTATAACAAAAATATATATAATATGAATGTATATAAATTATTATAACTAAATATAATTAATAAAATGAGAAAAATGCACTTTTTCGTACAAAAATGTAAAACTCTGAAACAAAAATGTTAAACTCTGAAACAAAAATGTTAAACTTTGAAATAAAAAATATTTAAAGAAAAATATATTTTAATATCTTAAAGTTAACATTCCAAACTACAAAGGAAAAAATAGTTCAAGTATCGGCAGTCCAAAAAATTTAGTTATTTAGAAAACCTGAAAATGATGTTTTTTTAATATGCATGAATAGTCATAAATTGAAAATATATTGCATTTTAAGCAATACATTTTATTATTGCTATTGTGTTAAAAAGACTTATAATTTGTTAGGAAAATGTTTTTTTATAACATTAGAGACAATACAGGTAATATATAATATATTTATCACAAAAGTATAAAAAAAAAATCAATGTGTTTATTAAAAGTTAATATATATATGTTGTTCTAGGATTAAATCCTTTTTTTAATAATTCGCAAAATATTCTCGCGATACAAACGAGAATTAGTTGAAAATAAAGAAAAAAATAAAATTTTTTTAGTTATAAAAATGTACACTCTATACACACGATGAGTCATTTGTGATCCAAAGATGAACTTCGGAGTTATTTTAGTTAGAAGATATGCACAAATTGAAGCCGGCAACGCACAAAACTTGTTTTCTAAATGCCAAACTTTTTTTAGGAATAAAAAAGAGTATTTGATCAGTATTTGATCAGGTGCTCTTAGTATTTCAAAAAAAAAAGAAATGCGCGAATAATCCAAAGGTGTGTAGTAAAGGTTAAACAAAGTCGGGTTTAACAATTTTAATTTTACAATGAGAGACAATGTAATAATGTCGTAAATTTTTATACTTACCGGACCGAATTGTTCGAAGTAATTTTTGACGTCCTCCAGCGTCGTTGGCGCCGATAATCCCCCGACGAAGATCTTCTTTGTCCTTGTCACCATCTATAAAATAACAAAAAAGGGGAACTTAAAATGATTTTTTTTTTTTTAATTAAGATAATACAATCAATTTTTACATATGTAATAAAGGAGTGAATACATTTGTTACTGTAATTATTACACACTAAATATTTTTTTTACTCTTACTTGCCCTTGCGAATATTTGTTTTTATAGGTTTAATTATAAATCCTAATATTTTATTTCTTATTTTAAGATGATACAGTTCGTTTCTTTTCGAAAAATAGATAAAAAATAAGCAGTAACACGATTAACAATGTTCCAGGAATGGAAATAAAATTTTCAACGCAATATGATCGTACACTAAAGAAATTGATAAAGAATTTATCAAATACAGATGATTTGTGTCTCGATGTACTATGACATTTCCAGGTAAACTCCTCCACTAGCGATGTTCTTGCTTTTAGTCTTTCATATTCCATACCTGTCTGGTTAGCGACAGAAAAGTCGTAAATAATCGACACAGGTGCATTATTAACAGCCGAACTTACGCTTCAATATAACATATCAATACATAAACACGAAGGAAAAAACACTCATGTTTTCATAAAATTTAGAAAATACGAAAAAGAATATATAAGATTTTCTCTTTTTGTCGATTGAGAACTTTATAAAGAAGAAAGAGGAGAAAAGTGGAAGGAGAGAGTGTTATCAGAAATTATCAGATCAGAATTAAAGAATGAAACCTGAAAAAGACGCGTTAAAGGTCAGGGTCAAAATCGGAAGAAATATTACTAAGCGCTTGTTTATCGCAGATTCATATTGAATGTGCGTGTTGTGAATCAAAAGAAGCGCGAAGAAGTATGCAATATTGGGACAAGCAACGCTCGGTCTTTTAAAGTTGTTCACAGCGAATCCGAATCCGCTATCATGCAACTGATACAATTACAAACCGCATACGAACTTGACATCTTCGATCTCCGATATTCCTTGCGTCTCCCGTCAGATATTGAACGTTACTACCCACGCAACTCGGGAACTACGGCGGATATCAGTGAGGTATGATAATATAATCAATGAATTAGAAATGGAGATCACGAGAAATTCGATCAATATTTAAGAACCGTAATCGATCGCATATATACACACACATCATATTTAATGATGAAGCAATAGAATATACCAAGAAATAAAAATTTTCAATGAAAATGTTCGTGCGACATGATATTTTTGTAAAAAATAATTTTGCAAAAGTAAAAATTTAGATAAATATATACAGATCTGAAATAATTTTATTGACTATTAAAATAGACTATTAAAATAATTAAAATATAGAAGCTCGAGCATAATGAACAATGCTATGAAAAGCTTTGACATTTTAGCAATCAGTTTGAACGTTTTATATTATTATTTTGATGTTTTCAACAAAAAATAATAAATTTTTAAATTTTAGACTTAGCTAAACTTTTAGATACTTCAACAGAACTGTCTTTTTCGAGACTGTCTTTTATAGGAATCTAAAGGAATCTATATTCAACTCTATTATTCAAATTATAATAAATTCAAATATAGCATATAGTTATAGCATTTAGTATAATCATTTTTAAACTATGATTTAGGTGTTCCAATAAAAATTTTCTAATGAATTTTTAAGATACACACATGTACATGTATCCTTCGTATAACACCTACGGTAAAGTTAGATCTCAATAACTCAAATCTACTTTGACTATGATTTAAAAGAATGCTATTTTGTGCCAAGAAATACCTAAATCATAAAGTTTAAAAATAATTACTATATTTTATAATTTGAAGGTTATTATATTATATGTAGGTTCCACTGAGTTCTTATAGAAAAAATGCCGTATTGAAAAATCAAAATCATATTGATAAAACTAAGAACTATAATACAACAGTGTCACAAAAACTAAAATTATAAATATACATTATTCTATTTTTATAACTCTGAGGAATACTTATTAAAAAATAATAATAATTAATCTAACGTATTATATGTATACCAAATTAAGATTAAATAACACTCGCAAAATAGTTTTCTTCTTCATCATTATATTAATTAAACTCAAGATAGTGTTTTCTTGGTTATAAAATGTCTTCATCTCTTGATGTGTCTGAAACGTTTAACTTTTAATGTTTGATTTTTTCAAAAACATCTGTAATTTTTATTCCCTTACTTTTTTAAGGACTTTGTAAATTTCATGGAGCTAAATATTTGTGAAACTTTCTTTTTTAGCACTTTTTTCAATGCAAGAGTTCACATTCAAAAATAAAATTTCAATTGTTCGGCTAAGTTTATGTCTTTTTATATATTTTTTAGAATAAAATTTTAAACTTCAAAATTCTCATTTGTATTATTATTCTTTGAGCTATGATGATTTACATACTAATTTCAACCAAATGCTTCAATCTGCCTTTTTATCTACTAATAATAATTCTTGAATATATCTATCCTTTAGTCATTTCACCAAGATCTCAATTCTCTGTTCATGCTAGAACGAACCATGTTGTAAAGATATCATGTTATACGAAGGATATAAAAATTAGAAGAAATATTTTCACCATTTATTTACATAATAAATATTTAAAATGCCTCATTTTTATTTCTTTATTTAATGAATTATACGTTTCATTTATACGTTTTTGCGTGTTTACATGGCGCACGCATGCGTGTGAATATATTTGCATAAATAAAAGTTTGAAGAAGAATTTATTTACATATCCACCTGATGGATCAAGTAAAATAAAAACAGTAGCATAATGATTGAACTATATAATACAGTCATTAATATTCGGATAAACATTGTGAAATAATTTGATAAAGAGAATTCATCGATTTTCCTTCGTGAAATCAGCTCCGACAAGGTAGATTAATATGAGAAGCTTAAGGAAGTTGAAAGGAGAAGAGCTCAGAGAAAGACCGATACTTTTAGTCTTGAAATCTTGATAATACAATCGCATTGTAATAAAGCCGCGGGCGAACGAGCCGGGGAATGAAAGGCAGGAGTCGAACATTTTACGGGCGGAAGTTCCATGCTGAGAAAAGGAAAGCACGATCAGAGTAGAAAGAAAGATGAGAGAGGAGGTAAGATGGAGCGCAGCGGAAAGAGCGGAAGAGGTAAACTCTGGCAATTTCAGTGATGGCTGGGCTTAGACATCTCTATATCCGGTGAGTAACGCAAACCCTCAGGAGGACGCAAGTCCTTCCACCCTGCCCCACTCCTGAACCTTCCTCGCTTTCGTTCTCCATCTCTAACCCTTCTTCAAAATCCCATGCAAACTCGCAGCTTTCTTCGTTCCTTGTCTAAAAGGGAATGAGAGAGGTAGGTTTCTTTCGCGAGGTGGGTTAATCAACGAAGTGTATAAAGTCCTGAGAATAAAAATAAAATGGCAGGATCTCTCGAAAATTAAATAAACGATTCGCCTCGATTTCGTCGGTGAGAAGCTCATAGCAAGGAGAAAATAGCAAAGAGAAAGAGGGAGAAAAGTACTCAGGAATAAAGAAGGATGTTATCATGAATGGACAAGGTATGGAGAGAAACGATGGAAGAAGGCGAACTTTTAACCAAGGAGACCACTTATTCCAATGAAACTGCTCTACAGCTTCTCTCTTCTTCTTCAATGAAAGCAGGATTTCGGCTTTCCTCATATTCTTCACTAACAAACGAATCTAGTTTTGCATTTTGCCAACCGCGTAATGAGCACATTGTTGTGAAAACTAGATAAACTTCTGTCAAAATTTCCATTGTTCCATCTGTTGTACAGGACAAATAGTTTTATTAACAAATTCGAAAATGAAGTGAAACAAAATAATTCGATAAGTGAGTCAACAAGTAACCTTAATTTTGCTCTAAAAAATCAAATATATCATGATATAAAGATTACTTATTGATTCACATACCTATATAATAAAAGGAATGCTTTGTTAATTAGTATTAATATCATGTACATCAGAATACTTGGAATTTTTAGAATTTTGTTTGTCAACTTCTGTCTCATGTATAAATAAGTATTATACATGCAAGTTTATTTTTTTCTCAAGACAGAGACAATACTCTCTTTTGCATTTTTAATTATCATGCGATATGAATAGAAAACAGATAGATGCCACAGCTGTCGATCATCGTTCGCTTAAGTGCATTTAATAAATCAGTGCGTTTGGCTTAGAATAACAGAGAGAATCAACTTATAGCTGCTAGCGGAATAAGCAGTTGAATTTTAGCAGAGCAGAGGCGCGATGCGAACAAAAGATGAAGTCGCAGACGACGGAGTGGGCCGCTTCTCGCTGTGGTTAGCCCGACAAAGAATAAGGTGGAAAAATACAAGTCACGAGAAGAACGCGGGGGAGAGCAGGACCCCCTCGGGTCGTTAGCAGAGATAAGTGCGGATAGCGGCAGAATAGTAATGGAAACTCGGCGAGTTCCACTTATTACGCCGTAGCATTATGTAAATACCGGAAGGCTATTACAATTTTACAACTTACTAGGAGTGGCTTTATAGTTTCATCGCTTGAGGGAGGAGGTGAGTGAGAGGGCCGCTTCAGCCCTCTTTACCGACCTCCTTGCTTTCCTCACTCGATACGCGACCACGTACATGTTTCTGGCTCGCCTTTAAAGTTTCCGCGTCTACGAAAATGAAATCGCCCTTTAGAAAGGAAGATGGGAGCTATCTCTTGCGCGCGCTTTACTATTTGCAGAAATTTAATATTCATCTATAATTAACGCCCTGCAGTCTAATACGATTCTGTAATGATGTAAATTGTTGTTTCATATTAATTTTAAATATCATGCCGCTGTAATCCATTAAAATCTATGCTTATAAAAGAAATGCAGAATTTGCAAAAATTGAATAAAATGGAAAAATGCATCAGGAGATCATCATTATCACGCAAAGCGTCGCGTCGGGTTTTATATTTTATAGTAACAATTGGCTCGTGAAACAGAAACTTCTTTCTCCGACAAATCAAAATTATTGTGTAACGTAAATTACGAGCAAAAACATGAGATTCGTAATAAAAAGCGCGTTT